TTCTTCAGGAGACATGGGGGAAAACGTCCGGGTAGTGTTCAGCTGTGGCTCAGCACGCTGGGTGTAGCGCGCCGGGCAGTGTCTGGGCTGGGCGGGCCGTATCACGACTCACTCGTTTCCGGGCAGGAGGCGATGCCCCGGCTGAGCGGGCGGCCCAAGTGGGACTTCCCACTACAAGGGAGAAAGGAAGTGCACTAGGGGCTTGTCCACATCTGGCAAACGTAAAGTGAGTAAGAGAAAGCAGAGTGACCAGCGCTCCAGGTCAACGCGGCGCGGGAGGAGCGTAGCTCGGCGGGTTAGCTGTGACTGGCGGGCGGGCGGGCTGAGCGCCCTCGGGGGCCGTCGGGCGGCGGTGGGGGGTAGCTTGGGAGATGGGGACCAGCAGGTGTAAATGGCTCCACACGAAGCAGATCAACAGGGACCTACCGTAGAGCACCGGGGCCAGCGTTCAGTACCTTGTAACAACCTGCAGCGGGAAGGAATCTGAAAAAGAAAATACGTGTCTGTAACTGAGCTGTTCTGCTGTAAACCTGAAACTAACATGTTGTAAATCAACTATACTTCAATTAAAAAAAAAGAAATACAAGACCGCGAGCGCCGAGACGCACTGAAGTCTGATTATGTCTGGATGAAGTGCACGTCTCTGAAAAAGAAAACTGAAGGTGAATCGATGTTGGGAAAAGTACCTCAAAGAGAGTTAATGATAAAGAAAAAGGGAGACTAAGATCTAAAGTTAAATGCACAGCTCTTAATTATGAGCGCAACACTTTAATCTCTGAACATAGAAACTTTAAGTGATAAATACGTAAAATATAACGACTGACAAAAAGTGGGTAAGAAAACATGTACAAACACATTTGCAAATAAAATTTCTTCTTAATTAAAAAAGAAGAAAATTAAAGAGAGGCTGTCAGGTTTGGGTTTAAAAGCCTTCCGACTCTCCGTCGTTTTCCAGCAGCTCAGCTGAGGCAGAGCGCTCAGGGGGCCTGGGGTAGAGGGGTCGCGGGTGGTGTCGGGCAGGTCCGGAGCAGAAGGGGGACCCAGGGGACCGGGATGAACCAGGCAGAGCTGACGGACCCACCCATGCAGACAGCGCAGCCCTGGAGATGCGGCCGAGAACTAGGGGTTTACGGGGCACGAGCCCTTCCTGCGTGGCAGTGAGTGTGCCGCTGAGCCGCGAAGGAGCCCGTGGGGCTCTGCGGGTCCGAGCGCTGCCACGCTGTGTGTTCGCCACTCAGGAGGAGTGGCCCGTGTGGGGTGAACAGAGGTCTGTTTTCTTAAGAGTGCGGGACAGCCTCAGGATTGCTCGTGGACTGGCTCTAAAAGCTTTGTAAAGAAGCTGAAAGAGAAAAAGCCCACCAAAAAATGTAGGGTGCAAACTTACCAAGTTCAAAGATGAAGAATGCGAGAAACGTAGGAAAGTAAAATAAGCTGTGTTCTTCGTAAAGCAGTTAGTCTAGGAGCCGAAGCAAGGAGAGAGCAGAAGACGGGTGGGGGGGGGCGCCGGGAGCGGGGGCTGGCCCACCTCTGAGCAGGATGTGTAGACCGGGCAGAATCCACATTTCCTAAATTGAGGGAGGGGGTCACGCAGCAGAGACAGAGACAGGTGAGCAAAGGTCGGATTTTGCCCTGGACCCGAGTAAGGAGCAGAGCCTTAAGGCTGCTGAAACTGTTCAGACCACAGCACGAGACGGGGAGCCCCAGGTCACCTCTGGGGCCAGCATGACCTCACCCCCAAGCTTTGCTGCTGGTCCAGAAAAGAAAGCCGGAGGAAGCTTGATGTCAGCATTGGCAGGAGAGCATTACAGACAGTCCGGTGGTGCCTGGAAAAGTAGGATTCTGTCCCGGGGGCTCCCGCATCCTGAGAGGACGGTAATAACGTGCCTCACATGGGAGGTGGATCATCTCATGATTACACCAGCGCACGAGAGGCAGAGATCCACGTAGTTCATCACCAGCACACGTCAGACAGGCACCTGGTAGAATCCCGCGGCCGTTCCTAACAAAAACTGCAGCAAAATAGGCCGATATCGTCGTCTTTTAAAGAGACATCTAAGAAACGTGTGACAGGCGGTGCCGCGCTCAGTGCGCTTCTGCTGGAGCCAGGAGCAGACAGGCCCGCCCGCGCCCTTTGCTGCCCAGCGCCGTTGGGGGCCTTGTTACCGTGACCGGAAGGTGAAAGCGACTGAGCGCTGGGCAGAGGTGTGTCTGTGTGGGTGGCACAGGGTGCACTCTGTGAGGTTAAAACTACAGACACTTTAAAGCTGTGGACTCATTTAGCCCTCAGGACAGCCCCGCGACGCGGGTACAGGGTGGTCGCCGTCCCTGCGCCGCAGCTGGGAGACGGAGGCCGGAATGAGCACCTGCCCGCCGTCCCTTGATGGGGTCTGAGGTCTGGGTATGTCGGGCTCGGAACCGGCTCCGAGCCACCGGGCCCTGCAGCTACGGAACAGGAAGGTCGGTGTTGAAAACTGACAGTTTCTGTCTCTCCTGGGAGTTACCAGAGAGCAGAAGGGAACCAGGCTCCCTCTGTAACAGTCACCAGACCTTAGGGCACTTGGAGCATGGCTGCGAGAGAGGGCAGGTTCTGTAGGGTGAACGTGGTAACATGTAAGTGAGGGACACAGAGCCCAGAGGGAGGGGCAGGGACCCGGCGTGTCCATGTCCTGGGCTGATACTTGTGAGCCGTTCCATTTAGACCCTTCCACCTACACAAAATGGAGTTAAAACTCTCAGCAGCGTAGCTGAGCTCTCAGGGTGGGGGTGTAGCTCAGTGGTGGAGCACAGGCTTAGCACGCACGAGGTGCTGGGTTCCGTCCCTGGTACCTCCATTAAATAATAAATAAATCTAATTACCCCCCACCAAAGAAAAACAAAAGAAAAATACTGAACAGAGAAGAGGGGTGAGGATTGTTTCTGGGTGTCCAAACCTGAGGCACCGTCAGTGCGCCTGCCGATGGGCAAGGTCTTGGGAGGATGGCCGCCTAGGTGGGGCGGGGTGGGGCGGGAGTCACTCCCCGAGGGGGGCCTTGTTGCGGCAAGAAGCAGATGTGGAGAGACCCGCCCCAGTAATGGTACTGGGGAGTTGAGATTTGTCCCGAGTGAGGGCATACAGAGCAGGTGGGGGGAGATGTGAGAGGTGACACGTGGGCACCTGTGCACTCTTACCTGTGAATTCGTGTGCCCTTGACCCTGCGCCCCTTTGCTGGAAACCCGCTGTGGACGCGTCTGCGCTGATACACGTAATGGCTCCCCAAACGGGGCGTAGGGGCAGAAATCACAGAAACAGCTGGCGTTGGAACAATGTGACGCCCCGCACGTCCACTGGCGCAGTGGCTCCTTGAATGAGTCCTCTTGCTCCTAAAGTAGAGGATGTCACAGCAACGCACACGGTGTTCTGTTGCTATGAAAACCCTCTCCCCCGGGGGTCGTGCGCCCGGCATGTTTGTGCGGAGGGACCTGCAAGGAAGGAGGCTGGCGGTGGGCCGGGGAGAGGGTGGCCTGGTGGGGGGCGGGGGACAGACACTTCCTCCTCCGTGGTTCCACCTGTTGCGCTCACAGTAGAGGAGGTCAGAGCACTGGCGTAGCCTGCGTGTGTGTGTGTGCGTGCCCCCCCGTGAATGAGCAGATGGAGCGTCGTAACTGAAAAATGAGGCGAGTTATGTGTCAGTCCTGAAATGCACTCGAATCAGAGCTGGAGAACTACCTATGGTCACTTGCTTCTTAAAATCATGTTGTTTTTTTTGCTTTGCAGTCGGATCTGGGACACCGCCTCGGGCCAGTGCTTGAAGACGCTGATCGGTGAGTCTGCTGGCCTCGTCCTCCAAGGGGCGTCAGGGGGTCTGCTGACTCCTCCCGCACTCTTCCCGCCCTCCATCTTCTGTGGTTTTCTGGAATCCTCCACCCTGTCCCAGACCTGCTCCCTGCAGGAAATCCTCCTCTTTTGATCATCCCCCACCACTGGCTCCTTCCTGGCTGACTCTGCTGTCCAGCCTCCCCTGGGGCTGCCCGGCCGCGTCCTCTGAAGGACCCGTGAGCCCCTGGGACTCTGCCTGTGCTCAGCAGGCCCATGTCTCCCTCCCCGGCCTGGGGGACTCTCCGCTCAGGTTGTTCCTTGAGCAGATGGGTGGAGCCCCAGCCCCTAGGACCCTGTCTGCTGGGGGGTGCCTCAGGTGGGCGGGAAGGATGGGGGGAGAGGCACAGTCTAAGCAGTGGTACACGTGTCGCCGTTTGGGTAGGGGGGGGACGGGGGACGGGCCCGTTTAGGGGGGGAACTTTCG